CTCCCCCATGAGCACACTGAACGGGCATTCGCTTCTTACAATGAGAGTGAAAACTGCTGTGCAGCAAGGAGCACGGGCATCTCACACTGAGATATATCACCAAAAGGAAACCGATTCATAAAGTTGAAAAGGACGGGACACGGAGGAGCAGCAGCAACTAAGATACAGGGGGGAGGGGGGCAGCGGGGGATTTCACAGCTGCAGTCTCTTCTGCCTTCTCGTGCTGGCTACAGAGGTCTGTGAAAGGGACACCGAGCTCTGCAGCCAGCACCAGCAGGGAGAAGAGACTGTCCACACAACACTTAACCCCGCCATGCTGTCACACTTCCGGAGAGGTCAGAGCGAAGAGGGAGCCTCGTTTGGTAGAGAGGTATTCCGGGGGAGGGGCTATGGGGGTCAATGGCCGAAGCTAGTTGAAAAAATTTAAACGGCCGGTATCTGATCTAGGCATCGGGACATTTTCAGGAATACAAGTACTCCTGAAAATGCCCTGTATCGGCCCCGATACCGGTACTAGCATCGGTATCGGGACATTCCTAGCTGACAGCATGAAATGGGAAGGGGTTTTCTTTGCTAAGTAATGCCCTTTTATAATCTCCTGTCTGCTGGACAACTGTTTAAGGAATCATTATAATCGCCTGTAGTTCAATTCTTGTTAATTAGGATTTTGCTGTCTAAAATTTAGCTTTGCTCCTATGACTTTCATTGGGGTTTATTTATTTTTGCATCATGATCTTGAATTAATTTGTTACGAAAAATATTTTTTTGGCCTCATTCACTCACAACGCAAGAGAAAATTTGTATATTGTGTATATACGCGTACATATACGTGCACTATATGCAATCCCAGAAAGCATAATTCGTAATAGAAATTTAAATGCATTGTACGTGCGTACACACGTATAAGTGTGTAAAATACGCAGAATTGCCTGCACGGACGCATCTCGGTTCCATTCTGTTTTTGCGCATTTTTACGCTGCGTAAATATACGGTTCCATACGCAGCTATGTGCATGAAGCCATTTATTTGCATATGGTATAATACGCGCGGCAGTGTGAATGAGACCTTAGTGTGTGCAAATTAACAAATCTTGGTTGCAATCCATGTCCCCCATTTGTGGGTGTATTTTGTAGTATAGTGCCCCATAGAAAATGTAGGAAAGTAAGGTTTTCTGACATATGTTGGGGTGTACTCCTTTATGCTGAGCACTGATATACACTGAGTGGCCAGATTATTATGACCACCCCATCAGTAGTTCGTTGGGCCACCTTTTGCCTTCAATACTGCGGCTATTCTTCTTGGCATTGACTCCACGAGATGTTGAAAGGTGATGCGAGGAATCTGACACCATGCCTGATGAATAGCACTGTCCAGTTCTGTGAGATTTGATGGTTGTGGAACCAGCTGCCTGATGGCTCTTTCAACCTCGTCCTACAAATGCTCAATTGGATTGAGATCTGGTGATTGTGGGGGCCACCTAAGCAAGGTAAATTCTCCCTCATGTTCTTGAAACCACTCCTGCACAATACGAGCACCGTGGCATGGCGCATTGTCTTGTTGGAAGAAGCCATCTCCATTCAAATAGGCCATCAACATGATAGGATGAACTTGATCAGCAGCGATACTTTGGTATGTTGTGCTATTCAGACGTAGTTCCACACGAATTAAAGGGCCCAAATAATGCCAGGAAAACATGCCCCAAACATAACACTGCCCCCACCAGCTTGAAGAGTTGTACTCATGCATGTGGGGTGCATGCTTTCATGCTGTTCCCGCAAATTCTCACACTGCCATCTGCATGCAACTGGAAACGTGATTCATCGGACCACATGACTTTTTTCCAATGCTCGAGTGAGGGTTCTGGGAAATCCTGCCTACTGTTTTAAGATAAAGAAATCAAAATTTTTAGCAATTTTAGAAGATTATGGCGGGCTCCAAGTTGAAAGGGAACACTAATTTTACTAACTATAAACTAAACTATAAATGATAATGTATCTTATGAAGCAATTAATGTGATACGAATTGAAAATAAGAAATATCTGAAGTTTTCCTTTAAGCTGCAGTTTTACCCTTTTCTACAGCTACTTATAGAGATCTGGAATTTATTCTTGATTAGTCTCTGCTGTTGGTTCGGGTAGAGCCAAAACCATGGGTCACACTGTTCAACTTCAATAAAACGAAACACGAGTCAAATGCAATCATTGTTCTCCTCACCCTCTATGTGCAGAGACTATTATCTCGATAGATTCAGAAGACACTTTACTAACATACTATTAATGATTTTCACCCGGTGGAGTTCATTGTTCAAATAAATTATGTAAAGAAATATTAAGCACTGATGGATTAATTAAATTACATTAAATATATATTTGACTGAAAATGAGGAGGTTGTGTTTTTCTCTGCTTGAAGTATCTTTGGCATATTCTCATCAGCAGTTTTGATTCCCATGTAGTGATCATATTCCATGTTTATTGCTTAAGTGTTGAGATATATACGTTGTGGAGTCCGGTTCCCTGGAAATGTATTGGTCTGTAGACATGAAAAATCAGGATAACATGATGAAAGGAAAGCTGTTGCTAGAGTAAGATGTGTGAAAAGTAATTATAAATGCATAGGTCAGGGCCACATGCTGAATCACACACTGGCTGTTTCAGTCCACTTTGAGGACCTAAGTACAAAATGTCTGCCTTAGAGTTCCAAGCTTTGCTAACTTTGTATGGCCATTGCAAAAGAGTCTCATTCATCCTCTTAGATTTTTTTACTTACTTTACAACATGGTGAATGCAGCAAGCGGTTTGAGATGAGAATGCCAACAGACCCACTGGTCAATCCGCTTCCTATGCAACACCAGAGGGGCCTCTGAGGTCTTGGGGCTCATTATAGACAGGGGATATCACTTCTTCACAGGGACTTGTTGGCTTTGTTTGCCAATGAACAGACCTCACTGCTGGAGTTTGAAGCCTCACTGCATGCAAAGCTAGTGGATTATTAAAGCTCAGCTCCAGACAAAATGCAATTTCTGTTTTGGAAAGGGTTAGAAAGTATGGCTGTCTGTGGTAAAATTTCCCCTACCTCTGTCCTGGTACACTGGATGTTACAGGGATTGGAAGTGATGGGAAATTGCACCAACGCTGACAGAGACAATATAAGACACTGTCTGTGTCTACCTATCCTGGTCTCACCTATTCCCATAATTTCCCCAGGGGGAAATCTCTCCACTGGGGCAATAAAAACTCTTCCCCAGCTCTATCTTAATCTTTTCATCAAATATAGAACAGTTAAACTGAATTTACAGGCTACATAAGCAGGGTGTATTTTTATATATATCTATCTCTCTATCTATATATAGATATA